CCTGCCCCTGGGGAGAGGGAGGGCGGGAGGCCAGGGGCCGGGTTTCGCCGCGAGTCTCCTGGTGGCAGTCGGGCTCGTGAGCAAGGGCGGCGTTGCCGAGGAGATGCCGCTGGCTTCCCCCGTTTCACGGCTCTGATGAAACTTTCCTGCGGCGAGAGACGTACCGTCCTTCAAGCGCACGAATCGGAGGGGAAAAGAGACGACAATATCCTTTGCGTGGTAACATCTCCAGCAGATTACACTTTTATTCAGTTTCTTTGTACGGGGCCATGTGTCAAAAGGCTTTTTACCTAGATCTGCTAAAATGGTATATGGAAGGACAACATATTTTCTTCACCTTTTACCTTGGAGCCGTAAACATTGTTACTGGAGACCATTAAAACCTAGTTGTGTCAGCTCCCTTTCTAACTCTGGCACTCTTTCAGGGTTAAGTAGCACTGATGTTAATGTGAGGTGACAGCAGTCAAAACCGGTGCCAAATTCAGGAACAGCCGGCTCCAGGGCAACCTGCATTCAGGAGGCTTCTCATTCTGACCTATAATTGCAGTCATTTTCCAAGGCTTCCTGCTTCCCGGCTGCCTTCTCCTTGTCCCCCTGTAACACAGGAGCAAGCTGCAGCTGTGCCGCAGCTCACGGACGTGAGACAAACGGCTGAGAAAATACGAGTCTTTTGTAAAACGAGGATCGTTTGCAAAATGGGAGAGGCGGTATTCCTTGGCGTTTTAGCAGGCATCGGCTTTCTGGCCCCTTCCCCTGCCCTGGGCTGCTTCAGCAGCTTCCTCAGCGCACGCAAACCTGTACCAAGCAGGGTACAGGTGCCGTCTACGATTAGTAACGACCCCAGCTCGTTTAGTCAAAAATGCAGTTGTCATCTCACTACAACTATTTTGCAGGGTTGTGGCCAGCGTGGTAGGTTTGAAAGAGGGGAGGAACGTTGATGAAGGCAACTATTAGGGTTTGCCATCTTAAAAGGAAATATTACCTGCTTTTCAAAAGCAGAAATAAGAAGGTGAGACAGGACATTAAAATGCGCAAAAACATGAGGACAAAGCAGTTGTTATTTGATTTGAATGATGTATTTTCTCCACAAAGTAAAATTTGTCAAGGCTCCTAATTCAGAAAATGAAGCTAAAAATCAGCTTTTGATATTGCAATAATTGTAGGGACGGAAAGTTCAGTTTTAGGGAAGACCAGCGGGAGCGGACTGCAACTGTGGTATGGTGAAAAAAGACACGATAAACATTTTGGCATATGAAATCAGAAACAGGAAAAAACAAATGAGGAAACAAAGGAGGATAGCAAAGGAAGTCATTTCTCTTCACCGTAAGGGTTCAAACCAGAAGAATACATGCTCTAAGCATAAACATATGGTTAGATCTGCTGGTGGTCTTATTAACTGTGTAAAACTTAACATTTTACTTGAAGATTCAAAGCATTTCTGTGTTCCTGCAAACCTCACACTGCCAAACTTTTCACTATCCCTTTAATGACTCCTCGGTCACAAGCGTTGCTGCCGCTGTTGTTCTGTGAAACATTCCTTAAAAAAGATTTTAGTCCCCTCTTCCTAACTTTTTTTTTTTTTTATTACTTCCCTTACCAAAGTAGGAGCTGCCTTGAAGTTTTGTTGCTGCCCTTTTTGGATACATTTACAAAGCATTTTGTTTTCCTCTGAATGCTGTGAAGGGAATATTTTATATTACATGATGATGGATAGACCTCTTAATGTTTTAGCAGAAATTGCTCCAATAAACTAATTACTTTCCCTAATGCATGATACCTGAACCAAGATTGCTGGTACATTTCTTACAGGCAAAATAGCTGTCTGATGAAAATACCTGGTTTGACTTTTTCCTAATTTGCAACACAGCCCTCAGCTGTCACTGTGTCTTCTGCATCTTGCCTTAAGAAAGAGTCTTTATTTCATCATCTGCACTGTTTTGTCTTTAGAAAATAGAGCTTTGCCTATTTGTATTGAAGGGAGGACCTGGAGGACAAATGATTCTGCTTGATTTAATATACAGCAATCAATACCTCCGTGAATTACTAGCAGACTGACTTCATCCATGGAAAACTTGTTGAAGGTGAACGGGAAAGCAAACATCAACATGTGATTAAGTCCTCATTATTCTTGTATTATGTAGTAAGCAAGTATCTCATATTAATGAAGGTAAGTACATTTGTTCCTTATATTTTATAATTAATATTGGGCCATCTGCCAGACACAGCCTGAGTGCAGAGGGCTGCAGCTGGAGCCATGCAGCTCTTTTCCAGACCTCAGCTGGGAAGATCCTGTCCAAGGTCTTTCTCCCAGTGCAGAAATCACTGAAGATTGTGGACTTGTATGGTGAAGAGGGAGAGAGGAGAAGGAGGCCCGAGGGATTGTCCTGGGTGCTGACAGCACCCAGCTGTGGGGCAGAGTGGGGTGCTGACAGCACCCAGCTGTGCTGGGGCAGGGAAGGGGAGCCTGGGCTGGCCTGTGTGGAGCCTGGCTTGGGCTTCCCAGCAGCACAGGCAGGTCTGGAACAAGGCTGTAACGTGCTTTTCTTTACGTACCTTGGTTCCTTATCTTCTCTGGTTGAAGGTTTGGGGCTTAGAAGGAGGAAAAGAGATCACAGACATGAAAGTGAGCTCTAGTGAGGGAGGAAGCGATAACACTCAGGACCCTGCTGGATTGCTGTCTGTGATACAGCTGGGTTTTCAGTTTTATAGCTCTTCTTTGGATTAAGCAGCTCTGAGGCACAAGAAGAGCTGAAGTATTTGCTGCTGTATAAAGGTAGTGATGTGTTTGCGCTGTGTTGAGTAAAGGAGCAATTGAAGGGTGAGTGGACACACCTGAACTAGCCCTCCTTTAGGTGATTTAGGTTAAAAAGCAGGGAAAACACAATATAGACTCATCAGCTGCCTAAATACTTACAGCTTGCAGTCAGCTTGGGTAATCTGGTAAAGCCTTTGCTCCACCAGTTAAAGCTTGCTCTGTATGTAGTAAGTTTGTTGTTGCATTCCTAAAACGCTGCCTGGACGGATCCATAGGCAAGAGACAGTGGGCACAGCTTGTGAGTGCGAAGAGAGCCAGGGAACAGTGGTGACCTCCTAGACCAGATCCTGTAAGTAGACATGTGCCATCCCTTTGAGAAGGTGTCTTAGCAGTTTGTTCTTTTGAAATCAAAACAAGAAAACAGAGCTGACTTTTGAAGGAAGATTCATTTGGTTTCATGTATACTGGGGACTGTAACTGCTGCCGTCAATTCAGAGCATTGAAAAAAAAGTATTAAAAGGTGTGCGTGGGCATGTTTGCAACTGGTGCGATGGGAGAGCGGTGCTGGCTAACAAGTTGCCTTGTCTCTGTTGCCTTTTCCTGCAGAGCGCAGCCAGAGCAAAGGTGCAGCTCTCGCGTGTCTCCAGAAGGCGCGTGGGTTTCTCTTGGGCAGGATAATGCAGTTGCTCTGTCCGTGTCTCCTGCCCAAAGTTCTTAGAAGTTGCTCTGTTATTAGACTTTACAGAAACTTCCGGGGTATGGTTTTGCTGGTGAATTTAGGAAATGCAATTTTTACTAGTTTGCTACTGAAAACTAAAACAAAGTAGAGATGGACCAAAATATGAGCTGCAGATAAAAGTTCTAGGTGAATTTCTGAAGGTGGCATCAGTGACTGCTCCTTTTACGCGTGCTCAGTTTGCCAACAGTGCTGACTTTAACTGTTTATTGCAGGGGAGGGTTTCAGTGGCTTGATTGTCTCATTCATCCATGGTAGGGGTACTTGAACTGTCCACCTGCTGTA